AAAATGGCCAGGTTGGTTACGTTGCCTTTGAGAGCGTATGGTAGCCCAGTAATTCACCTCTTTCATATTATGTGCACCCACACTTATTATATATCATTCTATTCAGGGGAAACTGGGCTTTCATTTAACATAAAAAATGTAGGTATGAAACATAATTTAATATGAATAAAATATAAAAGAAATGGGTGAAAATAAGAATTAAAAAAAAATGTTTAGTTCCAAGTGACATTCTAACTGTGAATGTCATAATACTGTTTACTTTTACTGCAATAAAATACACATATTTGTATTCAGCAACAGGGTTTATGGTGTTTTAGGAAGTTACACTGTAAAATATAGCTTGTTAAATTTTTCAGTTTCTTCACATTGAAATTTGCCAGATTGGTTACATTGCCTTTGAGACCGTATGGTAGCCGATGAATAAAAATTACCCCCCGATGGCCATTTGCAATAGTAGACAACCCAAGGTATTGCAAATGGGGTATGTCCAGTCTTTTTTAGTAGCCACTTGGTCACAAACACTGGCCAAATTTAATGTTAATATTTGTTTGTGTGTGAAAAATGCAAAAAACTAATTTGAACGCCATTTTTTTTACAGGCAGCAGGGGGAGTACCTGTTATTACATGTACTCCCCCTGCAGGCACTACTATGGACGACTAGGTCGTCCATGTGATCATGAAGTCCTCACAAGGACCTCGCAATCACATGGCCCAAAGGGGCCGGAATGGAAGCAGGGGGACCCCCTGGGATGCCAGGTGAGTCCCCACACCGCGATCGCCGGCGTGGGATCGCCAGCGACCGGGTAAGTACCGAGGATGGCGGGTACGTGCTATGCCGCCCGCTGGCGTTTAGAGCCAGGTCCCTAAGGATGGCATAACACGCCCTGCGTCCTTACGGGGTTAAAATACATGGGTATGAATATTTTTTTTAAATAAAACTTTGTCCTTTCTGCATACACATGTGCAAAAGCACACACACTTAGCCACCCACAGAAACACTAATTGACCTAGATAGACACAGAATCACTGACTCATGTAAACATACTCACTCACATTCAGCAACCCTTACAGTTACTGACTCACACACACACACTCACAGTGACTCCTGCAGACAAACTGCAAATTCTCTAGCACATAAAAAACTATGTGGCCCAGTTAGAAGGGGCGTGGCCAAAGGGAGGGGTGTTTTGTAATTACTAATGACAAGCACGTCTCTCCTCTCAAAGTGAGCATGTCAATTCAATGCTCTTCCAGGGCATGCCATGCGCAGAGCCCTGCTGAATAGCTCTTGCATGAGAAAAGGCCCTGTATTTGTTCTGCACTGCGCAAGCGTATTTAATTACATGCTTGCACTTTGTTTGCTTGTGACACGTCTGGTGTCTCCATAAGTTAAGTTCCAGAGGACAAAAGGGGCTTGGAAAGTGTATTGCGCATGTGTCTGAAGGCTTATTGTGGGATTGTGTGTGTGTAATTCAAAAGGTCAAAGTTCACATTTACAGTACAAGTGTATTTAAAAAAATAAAATAAAATCTCACCTCCCTTTTGTCTAACAATTTAGTGAAATTTCCACCACGCTATGGGGGAGGGATTCTGTCTATAGCGCATAATTTGAAGTGTTGGGGCCTTTGTTTGTAAATTAAGAAGGGCTTGGATACAGAATGGTATAAAAAGCCATTAGAGATATTTTTATAATTCTCCGCAATTCTTATTGTCATGCCTATGTACTGCAGTCCATATGGGCATTCTAATAAATAAATTACATTTCTATAATTACATGTAATTAGATTTATGTTATATTTTTTGGGAGCTATTGGATTTAAAAAACAGATACCTTCATGTCATCTTTGTTGGAGCTTTTGCAGAATACGCACCATTTGCATTTGCAAAAACATTTTTTATTGTCATATAAAAGAAGAATATGAGAGAATATAAAAGAAGAATCATGTCATATAAAGAATTATTGTTATTGGTCATTTTCTTTGTGTGCAATTTTTAGTTGGCCATTTTTTAAAGGACCACTCTAGGCACCCAGACCACTTCAGCTTAATGAAGTGGTCTGGGTGCCAGGTCCTTCTAGGATTAACCCATTTTTTCATAATTATAGCAGTTTCAGAGAAACTGCTATAATTATGAATGGGTTAAGCCTTCCCCCTAATCCTCTAGTGGCTGTCTCATTGACAGCCACTAGAGGCGCTTGCGTGCTTCTCACTGTGATTTTCACAGTGAGAGCACGCCAGCGTCCATAGGAAAGCATTATGAATGCTTTCCTATATGACCGGCTGAATGCGCGCGCAGCTCTTGCCGCGCGTGCGCATTCAGCCGGCGGGGCGGAGAGGAGGAGGAGAGCTCTCCGCCCAGCGCTGGAAAAAGGTAAGTTATTACCCCTTTCCCCCTTCCAGAGCCGGGCGGGAGGGGGTTCCTGAGGGTGGGGGCACCCTCAGGGCACTATAGTGCCAGGAAAACGAGTATGTTTTCCTGGCACTATAGTGGTCCTTTAAAGTTAGGGAATCTAAAAATTCTACTGAGTTTGTCTAGTAAGATGTTTTAGTATCATCCTCTTTTAGAATTCCCCAATGTTTTTTGATACTTTTTTTTAATTTTACAAGTTTTGTTGTTCATATAGTGATATTCTTTTTCTCTTCTGAGTTGTATTCTAGTATTAGTTTATCTATAATAAGTTGTTCAATATATTTAGTCAAATTGTCAATCTTCCCAGCAATATAACCTTCTCTTTGTTTATCTCTAATTGAGTGGAATTGGTCCCTGAAAAAACTTCTTGGTTAGTGCACTTTCGTCTCAGCTGAAAAAGCTGACTTTTTGGGATGACGCTTAACCATGGGGGATGAAGGCAGCTGGTGGAATCTATAGAAGTGTTTGTGTGAACTGCCTTTAAAAAAGTTTTTGTGTTCAGCCTTCTGTCTTTGATGCATATTTCTAAGTCTAAAACGTAGACCCTGGTTTTCCTGATATTTGAGCACAACTGGATGTTGATGTTGTTTAAAAAGGAAAAAAATGTGTTAAGATCACTGTCCGAACACTTCCAAATAAAAAGGGGTTGTCTATATATCTTTGGTATAAAACTAAATTCACTTTCCTATTTAGGATTGGACCAAATAAAAGATTCTTCCCAGTCTGCCAAGAAAAGGCAGACATAGCTTTTTTAGTTAAAAAATGTAAATAGAAAAACTTTATATCCCCCTTTTCTTCTTACCTTTGGACACGGAGGGGCGACCATAGACATAGAATACCTAGACGCCGCACGTATGTGTTAGTGTATGTGTGTTAGTGTGTATGTGTTAGAGTGTGTGCGTCTGTTATTGAGTGTGTGTCTGCTAGTGAGTGTCAGTGAGTGTGTTACTGTGTGTGTCTGTTACTGAGTGTGTTTGTGTGTGTCTGTTAGTCTGTTTGATGTCTGTTAGTGAGTGTGTGTTTGTCAGTGAGAGTGTGTGTTTTGTAAGTGAGTGTGTATGTATGTCTGTCGCTGAGTGTCTCTGTCAGTAAATGTGTGTGTCTGTTAGCTAGTGTGTATGCGTCTGTTCGTGAGAGTGTGTGTGTGTCTTCAGCACTTACCTTTCTCCAGCACCGGACTCCCTTGGCGCTTGGGATCCCTCCGCCTCTCAGCTCCGAATGTGCATGCGGGCAAGAGCTGCACGCGCATTCAAACCGACCATAGGAAAGCATTACTCAATGCTTTCCTATGGACGTTCAGTGTCTTAGAAGCTCTTCTAGCGGCTGTCAATGAGACAGCCACTAGAGGCTGGACTAACCCTCACCTGGTGTGCGTGTGTGACTGTCTGCATGTAACTGTGTGCGTGACTGCCTGTAGCTGACTGTGTGTGTAGCTGCCTGTAACTGTGTGTGTGTGGCTGTAACTATGTGTATGACTGCCTGCCTGTGACTGTATATGTGACTGCCTGTAACAGTGTGCGTGACTGTGTGTAACTGTTTGTAACTGACTGTGTGTGTGTGTGTAACTCTCTACTTGTAACTGTGTGTATGACTGCCTCTGACTATATGTGTGACTGTGTGCGTGTGACTGTCTGCTTGTAACTGTGTGTGACTGTGTGTGAGGGAGTACAGGGATTTTGTAGAAAGGGGCAGGGGTTTTAACAAGTTTACAAATTTGTTCAATACATTTTTTTAAAAATGTTAAAAAAGAGCACATTTTAAAAATTTTGTAGGTGTTTTTTTGAGGGTTTTTTTTTTGGAGGGGGGGGGCAAGGAGGTGCAAAACCCAGGACCCACCCCAGGTGCCACATGCTCTAGGTACGCCTCTGCATGCAGTGTATGCTGTGTCTTACCAACAGAACAATGTTATACCTGCAGTTTCCAGTTCATTAAACAACTCCCAGTAAGCGTTCTCAAAAGTTAGTTTGAACTCCTTTCGCATCACGTCCAGTTGTGTATCTCCTCAGCATTATGTATGTAAAATGCATTTAAAATAGAGGATTTTTAAAAAAGTTTAATTTTAACACCTTTGTCACCAATTTAAAGGGACTCTATAGTCACACAGACCACTTCAGCTTATTGAAGTGGTCGAGATGTAGTGATCCTGTCCCACTTAGTTATGCAATGCAAATCAATGCAGTTTTAGAGAAACTGTAATAATTACCTTGCAGGACTAAGACTGCCTCTAGTGCCTGTCAATCAAAAAGTCACAAGAGGCAATTCCTGGATGTTAATGGACTCCTGGTCACCTAAACACTGGACACTGGACATCCTCACGCACTATAGAATACCTTTAACAGTCAGAATGATTAAGTCAGTGGTCATGGCACCTAAAATCAGCATGGTATGAACTAAAATCAAATAAAAATACAAACAATTATTAGAAAACTTAAAGCATTGTTACTATTGTTCACAATGCCACATGCTATTGATAATAAATATAAAATATTGCAGATTATTTTTTTTTATCATTTATTGAATAATTAATGTTCAGCATGGCATTAAATACATTACGATCAGCCATGTTTCTCCTTTGGACACTTTGAAAAGGGTCACTGTAGCCATGGATGTTGTAATGCCTTTCTTGGCGTCATACGCCGTGCAGGATCCCATTCAAAGCACTGCATTAGAAAATTAATAAAAAGGGGATGTTTACAGCCCTTCAGTGCGGTGGCCAAATTTCGACTGCCAGGTGGACCACGCCATGTTCCTGTTTCAGAGTAACTGCCATTCAGTACCACTGATCCATCTGACCGGTATCTAACAGTACAATAATCAGGGTGTCCTTTGGAGGTGAAAAAACAGTTGTATCTTTTGGAAGATCCAAGAACTTTTTTGGGTGGCATACCAAATAACTCGATTATACATGCAAGCTGATCATATTCATCTTCCCCGGGTAAAAGTGGATCTCCAGTTAAAAGCTCGGCAAGAGTGCAACCCAGGCTCCACATATCAATAGGCATTCCGCAGTTACCACCAAGAATGACTTCAGGCGCGCGATAAAACCTTGTCTGAATGTATCTTCCACTGCGCTGATGATCATAGCCACTTAATCCAAAGTCTACCACCTTGATGTCAGTTTTACCTTGTTCTTTTAACATAATGTTCTCTGGTTTGAGGTCGCAATGGATGATTTTATTTGTTTGCAGGGAATCCAAGCATTGTAAAATCGAGTTAGCAAATTTTCGCACTGTTGGTAGATTGAAACCTGTGAATTTGGTTTTCTTAATAAGTTTGTACAGGTCCATGCTGAGCAGCTCAAATGTCATACAGATATGATTTCGGAATGTGAAGTAGTCCAGCATGTGAATGACATTCATGTTGTTATCCTTGTCCTGTTTCTTCAGATGTTTAAGTATTCGTATCTCATCCATGGCCTGCTGATGACAATCTTTCTTATTACGGACCATTTTTAATGCCACATGCTGTTGCAGTTTGTGATCATACACCTTCAACACTTGTCCATATGATCCTTTCCCAAGAACTCTCAGCACTTCATACCTGTATGCAATGTGATCATGTGGTACTTGAATATAGTAACCCTGTGTGTCATCAAAGCCACAATTATTTGGGTCACCGATGAAACCATGGCACTTATTTGCACTGGGACCAAAAAAGTAGATTTCAGTGTAACGAAATATCTCATGGTGCTCATAAATCGTTAGCCTGTCCATGTATCTCTTTAATATTTCTCCCGGAGTTAACGATGTTGCAGTATGTACCATGTTGCCAGATAAGGTACTCCTGTCACCTCTATTATTCAGTGCTGCAGAGAAAACAAAAACTATATTTCGTTAAATGGAAAGCGACTTTCTCTACCACTACATGTATAATATCCACATATTTACAGACCATTCAAGTGTATAAAAAGTATAATCTAAGACTTCACAAGCACAGGAATGTAAGCCATAGTCTTTTTTGGTTTTTGATATATTTTATCCTAGGAAATTGTGACTGTCAGTGGTGCTGTCTGGATTTTGACTTAATTTTTGAATATTAATCTAATAAATTGAAGTTTTATTAAGATATTGTGCTCATTGAATGGGAACCAGTCTGGTGGACTTTTTTACATTCACATAACTAACCTAGTTAAAGGAATACTATGGACACCAATGTAACTTTAGCTTAAAGGGATACTGTAGCCACCAGAACTACAGCTTAATGTAGGTGTTTTGGTGTCTATAGTCAGTCCCTGCAGACATTTTGCTGTAAACACTCCCTTTTCAGAGAAAAGGCACTGTTTACATGGAAGCCTAGGAACCCCTCCAGTGACTGTCACTCACACAACGTGCAGCACTGATGTTCAGCATCTCCACGCTCAGCATGGAGATGCTGAACTTTCCCCAAAAAAGCAGTTTTAATATATAGATCATGCCTCTAAAGCAGACTTCCCCAAACTCCAGCCCTCCAGATGTTGCTGAACTACAACTCCCATGATTCTCAGCCTATCTATTTCATTCATAGAATTATGGGAGTTGTAGTTCAGCAACATCTGGAGGGCCGGAGTTTGAGGAAGCCTCACTGCTCAATTATCTGCTATTTAGGAGTTAGATCACTTTTGTTTCAGTTTATGCAGCCCTAGCCACACCTCACCTGGCTCTAACATACACAGCTTGTATGAAAAAAATTGTTTCATTTTTATATAGATGTTAACTTGTTTTAAAAGCTTTTATCTCCTGCTCTGTAAATTGAACTTTAATCACACAAAAGAGGGACCTGTCATGTCTAGAAGGCTATTAGCAGAGCAGGAGATAAGAAATTCTAAATTTAACAGAATTTGCAATAAAAGAAGTATAAACATTAGATGTCTCTTTATAGGAAGTGTTTAGGAAGACTGTGTAAGTCACATGCAGGGAGGTGAGACTAGAGCTCTGTTAACAAAGTGATTTAATTCCTAAATGGCAAAGAATTGAGCAATGAGACTGGAGAGGCATGATCTATACACTAAAACTGCTTCATTAAGCCTAAGTTGTTTTGTTGCCTATAGTGTCCATTTAAACCTCTCACATGGGAATTTCTGTGGATTATAAGGCGGATTCAGTTTGTGTTACATATAAATCCAATATGCAATAACCATTGTTTTTAAGCAGAACATGATAATTGTGTGAGACAGTGTTATTATTTGACTATAAGTTTTCTGTACTTGTCCTTTGGTTCTGTCAGTCTCATGAAGCTCACAAAATATCTCTAGCTTAGTCTATAAACCATTGTTTCTTAAAGAAACACTCCAAACACCACAACCACTACAGAGTGCTATAGTGGTTATGGCGGCAGGAATGCCTGGGAGCTCCTCTGATGTAAGTAGCCAAACCATTTTCTAATGGTTTTACCTGTGGTCTACTACTATATTCCACTCGTTGCCTGTATTACAGATTATTCCCGCTCCCCTTTTCTCTGTCCTCAAATCTATGACTCACTTCAATCTCTCAATTTATTGAAATACTACAAACTCTTAAATGTACTGAATTTACCAACCTGTTACCATTGATTGTGTTGTACATTGCTTTGGGTGTCTAACAATAACCCTTTTCTCGGGATCTTGCAGCTTTAGTAAGAATGACTGTTCTGGAATTACTGGTGGCTTCTCTGGAAACAGCTGCTTCTGTATGATTGACGGTTTATGCATGACTGATGGTTTCTGCACAACTGATGGTATCTGAATGAGCAACTGCTCCTGCCCAATTGACTGTTTCTCCATGGCTGATGGTTTATATTTTACTGACTTCTGCGTTGCTGACATTTTTTGATTTTCTGGTGTCTTCATGATGGCTAGTGGTGTGGCTGGTATTCTTTTTATGGCTGACAATTTCTGAATAACTAATTGTTTCTGAACAACCGGTGACTTTTGCTCTTCTGACTGGTTCTGCATGGCTGGGGTCTTCCGCATGACTGCCAACTTTGGTATAAACGAGTCCTCCTGCATGAATGACACCTTCTCTTTGACATGTGCCTTCTGCATGTCTGGAGTTATTGACATGACTGGGCTTTTCGACATGACTGCTGTCATCTGTATATTTGTTTTCTTCATGACTAATGTTTTTTGCATGACCGGTATCGTTGATGTGACCTGTACCTTTTTCAAGACTGGTGTCTTCGAGATTATTG